TAACATTGATTCAAATGAATATCTCAAGTTAAAATTACATACCTCTTTGATGTAGAATGTCTTCATGAAGCTTGAGTGCCTAGTGCCCCAAGTGTGACACCTCAAATGGTTCACACAACATCAAATGCACATGGAATGACTTGAGAGAAATTGGAACACTTCATAAAATCGGCTAGCCCTTTTTTCCTCACACATAGTCCCCGATTTCTTGAGCCATGGGATTCTTTTATATGGTGGCTATTAGGGTTACACCATGTAACTCATAACTTTACCCATTCCTTATGCTCCACGGATTTTAACCTCCATGGAGTATCCATGGGTCACCCCATGGACTTAGTCCAACATAAGGAATCTTGGATCACAAGCCCACATATAAAAGAATGAATGATTTACACAATCAACCCATATATTTAATTAGTCTCCTTTTGATCACTTAATTAATTCCAAATTAATTCTTTATCAATACTAATTAAATAACCTTATTAATATATTAGAACTTATAATATATTAATAAACCTTAAGTGTTATTTCTCTCATTTTAGTCTATCCAAATGCATGATGCCATGCAACCCAAATGGACCATGCCGGGTCGGGTCAAGTCTTACCAATTATAGTTATGTCCTTTAGACATTAATCCAACAATGAACTCACATTGAGTGTGTTTGGGGTTGGTTGAAGAGATGATGGTGAAGATCATTATGCCTAGAACACTTGAGGTGGTTGATGAACTCTTTGAAGATGATATTATCCTGAGAGTTTTAACACATGATAATGTGTGTAAATGAGACAAACTAACATAAAGTGTGTAAAAACACTAGGTTAATCAAGAACTACTTACCAAAAAATTCTAAGAATCAACTTGGAGAATTCTTCTTGGAAGATTTGGACTTCATTCTTGAGAGAAAAATGGAGAATTTCGAAGTTGGTGGGGGGCTTAGGGTGTTCTCGGCCAAGGATAAAGGGGAAATGTGAGGTGACATTTGCTTTGTTCTTTGTTGGATAAATGCATGGATACATGCCGGGTAATATTCTATGCTGGAAAGGATGAACATCAAGTCACAAAGTCAACCCTCCTTTTCTCTTCTCCCCACCGAAAACCCTATAGAATCAACGAAATCACATGTGATTTCGGCCTAGCACACCGAGATCACCTAGTGATTTTGGTCCACGTGCCAACCGAAATCCTATAATGATTTCGGTCCATGCACAAACCGAAATCCCAAATGTTTTGAGTCCTAAGCCGTTGGCTTGTTGACTTTACTTGACTTTTGTTGGCTCCTTTGACTTCAGTTGGATCCAAAATTAGCAGTTGTCACAATCCCGTAATCGCCAAGTCATCTGATTGGTCGTGAACTTTCCCATCACCACGTTGTGTTGGAGATCACCACGACGTGGTCTTCAGTCCTCTTTTCTTCTTCTTTTGTTTTAGCTCCCGTTTCCTGCTCCTTGTATGCTTCCTTTTTGTCCTGAGCAAATATTTGTCGCTATAAAACATATTTTAAACATAATAAGTATCTTTTGTTCCAAAATAAACATAATTGTATCTAAAAGTATTAGAAATATGCATGGATTATATAGTTAAATATGCACATGTCAATAATCAATTTTGTGTTTGCTTTGTGTATGATCATTACATAGTAGTACATGAATTGATGAAAATATTAAGATATCAGATCAAGAATGCTAATTACATTAATATTGGTAACAAACTAAATAAAATCCATGTTTAGAAACTATCCATAGGAAAAAGGGAATTCAAAGCTAAAACGAAAGTTTCTTTTTAATCTTGATCACAATCGTTTCTTAGTTAAGTGTTTGCTTAGTTTTTAGTTAAGTAATTAGTTAAGTTAATATGAACTTGCAAAATCAGATAAAACCCCAATTTTAGTTATTATTTTTAGATTAATTTTTTAGTAATTATTTTATTAGCTAAATCTCGTTCCTTATGTTGGATACCCCAACGTACTTTACTATACTAAAAACTGACTAGGAATACTGTTTATAGATGCATTAGTAAATAAGTAGTTAGGTTTATAATTTTAAAAGTTGATAAGTAATCTTTTGCACATATCATGGGGGATCATCTAATGTTTTGGCATTTTGTGCCCACGATGTGGCCAAGGAAGGCCACGACTTGGAGGGCCATTGTTGGCAAATTTTGATTTTGACGTTGACCGTTGACTTTTGCGCATGGGTTGACTTTTTGTCAAATTTCCTATTTTAGAAGGTAGACTTAAGGTTTACCTTGTGTGGATTGTTAGGAGGTGTTTAACACCTATTCGTTGGCTGGGGGAGAACTGTTAGCTACGGGCGGCGTGGCATTGAACTGAGTTTTGTCGGCTTTATGAGTCAGGTAAGTTTTCTCACTACACCATGTAGGAATATCAAGTGGCGGCCCCTGGAAATTGTATGAAAGACCTGGATATGGCTTCCGAAAATCTGTATGCAAGACCAGGGTCTGGACCATGACAGTTGTATGTAGGATGCTAGTTGTCTTTGTGATACTTGTATAGAAGATCAAGAGGTAGCTTTTGGAACTTGTTTGTAAGACCTGAGTTTTTGGCCCCTGACATGGCAAGGAAAGACCATGATGTGGCTCATGGCATGATAGTGAATGTAAGACTATGGTTGGCACATAACATTCCCTATTATATGTATAGTGTGTGGTATTTTGGGGAACTAACTAAATTTTGTGCTTACGGTTTTGTGGTTTAAACATTTTCAGGTACTTCCAGTTTCAAAGGGAATGGGCCGTCTTGACTGCACAACATCTCCTGATGGATTTTCCGCATCGATTGTTATTATGTTACTATGATGTTCGAAAAATATATTTACTTTGATTGGTTTTGAAACAAGTGGTTGTATGAAATTAATGGTTTTAAATGAAATTTTTTATTGGTATTTTTGGGACGTTACAATGCGAATGTCGGAAGCAATCCAAGAAATATTTAAACCACAAAACCGTAAGCACAAAGCTTAGTAAGTTCCCCAAAATACCACATACCAAACAAAATACAACAAGTCTATTTCAATCCAAGAAGATGTTATGGGCCGAATCATAGTCTTAATCCCTGCCAAGGGCCAAATCATGATCTTACTTATACACTTGCTAGGGGCCAAACCCTGGTCTTACATGCAAATTCCAAGAGCCAAACTATGGTCTTCCATACAAATTCCAGGGACCAAACCATGGTCTTCCATGTAAGTATCACAAAGATAACTAGCATCCTACATAGTATACTCAGGAGACTCACCTTGCAACGTAGTCAACAACTCAACATCTCACACAACTAAAAAAATGTACACTACACAACACTTACTGAATCACACAAGGTAAACCCTTAATCTACCTTCTATAACTAACATTTTACCAAAATTCAACCCTGGTCAAATTCAACGTTCAAGGTCAACATCAACTGACTTCCACGTCGTGATCAATCCATGGTTACGTCGTGGAAAACAAACTCATGCTCGATCAAAATCTCATCGTGGTGGTCATGCCACCACGTCGTGACAGAGTCCATCCAAAACAGTCAATAAGAACCCTCCCCCTCATCATCACGTCGTGGCATCCATATGGCCAGGTCATGAATATTGCACAAGGCAACTTAATGCATTAAGCCCATAATCCTTTAATTGATTCAATCATACTTTCTAGAAGGCTTCTTGGACCTTAATGGTCCATAAAAATCCTTGCTTTGATGACATGCATGTCATTTGCTCATCTAGATTAAAAATGGTAAAAATGGGGGCCAAGATCCATGCATGAGCTTAAGGCTCCATAACTCTTCTGATCTAGGACATCCAACCCTCTTAGGACAACAATGATCAATAAAGTTGCAAACTTTATTAAGTCCAACCACTCAAAATACCAAGAATCATGAAGGAAACCCCATGAAGCTTAGATCTACGGAAAGTTAACCGACAAGATACAAAAAATGAGTAATTACAAAGGTCCAAAAGTGATCGATCTCAAAGACTGGGCAAGAGTTGTTTGCTTGAATCTTGGACTAACACTTCTTCTTCTTCCTTCCAAATGCACCAAAACACCAAGAATAAGCTCAAATATGGAAGAGGGAATTAAGGTTTGCTTCAAGGCTCTTGGAGGTAATGGATGCTGAGGGTGGAGGAAACATTAGTCATCACTTCCCTTAAATAGGGCCTTATGCCCGGAAATTTAAGGTTTGCCCATAATTAGTCGCCACGTCATGACTAATATATTGTCACGTCGTGGTGGCTAAAAGAGATGTGCGCTTCATGAGGCCATGCCACGTCGTGGTGATACATCCACCACGTCATGACCCTCATAAAATTCATAATTTTTACTTTAAGAATTCATACCTAAAATTCGGATGTTACAAATATGTTTTGCAGTGTTTCATGGGGAAAATCTAATCAGTTGGGCCTCCCGAAAACAGCATGTTGTTGCTCGATCGAGCACGAAAGTCGAATATAGGGCATTGGCCAGCACCTCCGTTGAACTCCTGTGGATAAAACAACTTTTTCGAGATCTCAAACTTCCTACTATAAAACCTCCAACCTTGATAATATTGTTGTCACCTTCATGACCAAAAGCCATGTCATTAGTACTCGATCTAAACATATTGCTTTTAATTTTCATTTTGTTCGGGTGCGTGTTTGTCATATATTCTCTGTGGATTAAATCACTTAAATTTTCACTAAACCACTCAGTAAAGATCACATCGCTTCTCTAAGACATGTTCGTTCCGCTCTCGAGCTTGCCGGGGGTAATAAATTACTAGTTTTGATTTAGTCAATATATTGTATCTATAAGTAATTGTTAGTGGCTTAGATAGGGGACTATTTATTGCTTTATGTTAAAGTTCCCTTCACATAAATAGTCCTTGTAAACCATTGTTAAATACACAGTGAAATTCACACAACATCAACGTCTCTTTAATGATTTTCGAAAATTACAAACCAAACGGTACGGTTTTGTTAAACTGGACCGGACAAATCGATTCGATTAAAAGATTCCACTTTCGGCTTTCATCAGTGATATTGGTGGGGAAATGGTTCACTCACTATATCACTGACCTCTACGATCTCCATACTATTCATCCTCAAAGTTGAATTTTGTTTCTGTGATTGCTTTGGGGGTTTTACTTATGGAAAATCCTAATACTGTTGACGATGGCGGCAGTGACCGGCCGACGATCATGGTAACAAACGATGATGGAATTGACGCACCGGGTCTGCAGGCCCTAGTTCGTGTCCTCGTCTCCACCAATCAATACCGTGTGTGGGTCTGCGCCCCCGATTCGTACGTTCGTCCTCCCCCTTTTTTACTAACGCGTTCTTGCCATATTTATCAGCAATTTGGTCTGAATGTTTTTTTCATTTAAGACATTCACAAATTGGAACACATGAACAGACAAAGGATAGAAGATTTGAAGTAAATTAGTTTGTACTAAACAGCAGTTTAATCTGCACTATTGCCTGAAAAACTAGAGTTCTATGCAAGTGATTTATCATATTTACAGGGAAAAGTCAGCTGTCAGTCATTCTATTACTTGGCGTCATCCTCTCTCCGCAAAACGAATCGACATTAATGGAGCGACAGCCTTTGCTGTTTCTGGTCAGTTTCATGTTGAATTGAACAGTTGAACGATCTTAATTATATCCATAAATTTCCTTGTTCCTATATTGATAGAGAGAATTGTTAGATTATTGAATAAAGGGTATTCACATCCTTCGTATAAGTTTTGTCATTAGGGTTTATCATCATCTTGGTTTATGATCACTTTTTTAATCGTTATATTCACATATCTAGTTGAATAATCACGCCTTTTTGACAGAATATATACAGACTAACAATAGTATATTTTTGAAATAATACTTTGCAGGAACTCCAGCTGACTGTACTTCATTGGGAATCTCAAAGGCACTATTTTCTTCCGAGCCTGATCTGGTAAATTTTTAAGCTTCACCATAAGTTATAATTTGATGGGTTTCATATCATTTGATAAAAAAAATTATAAACTATAGTATATAGTTGGGTGCATCAATTTTCATTCATGATCTATGTATATGAGATTTTGCTTGCAATTTAGTTGTAATTTATGCATCCTACAAAATTTGGTGCATATTCTGATTTGTTATAGTAACTCTTTACAGGTATTAAGTGGCATAAATATGGGCAGCAACTGTGGTTATCACATGTTAGTACCATTGTTTCTTGTTAGTCTTAGATTCCCTTGTTTTTATTGCTGATATTTGTTCTCTTGTATTTTTGTTTAGGGTTAAATGCTAACCAGAGTTTCTTGAAATACAGTGTCTACTCAGGGACAGTTGCAGGTGCTAGGGAGGCCTTTTTCAATGGTTTACCATCTGTTTCAATATCATATGATTGGTATGTGTAAACTTCTTCACTACATTACATGGATATGAGGTTAATTAGGTCATTTTGATTGTAATATCTATCACAAATCTCATTGGGTGACAGGGTTGGGGGTACAAGCAGCATCAATGACTTCACACTTGCTGCTGAAGCTTGCTTACCTTTAATAAGTTCCATTCTTGTTGAAATCAAGACTAAAACATTTCCTCAAAAATGTTTCTTGAATGTAGATTTGCCAACAAATGTTCTCAATCATAAGGTGAGTGAGTTTAGATTTCATAAAGAAGTTGGACTATTTATATTTATTCTTGTTTGTAAATTGTAATTGTATGTTTTTTTTATTAGGGTTATAAGCTGACTAAGCAAGGAAAAAGTATTGTTAAAATGGGTTGGAAGCCAGTTTCTAGTGATGCACAAGGTGCACAGATGTTATCAACAATGACAATGGAGTCAAATTCAGTAGCATCAAATCCTGATGCTACTAATTCTGTTTCTAAAGAACAGCTTTTATTCAAGAGAGAGGTGTGTGAGCTTTTATTCATCCAGTTTTTTAATGACTCAAATTTTTTAATGCTCTTTCATACATCCTTTCAGGTGAAGGGAGGCCATGTGGAAGAGGGTGACACTGATTCTTGTTACCTTAAACAAGGATATGTGAATACCTTTCTCTTACTTTTTTTAAAGTGATTTTTCAAGTGCTCTTATTAATTAATTAATAAATATCACAATTGTGTTATATTTTCAGATAACTGTCACCACCCTTGGGGCCTTAAGTCATGCGGATAATGACTCCCATACATTTTTCAAAGAATGGTTACCAATAGTGGCTGACCGTACCTCTCCTTCAGCTTTGTGATTACTTTATGCAGATTGTCTGCATGTCAAATGCAGTACAACCTGGACTGTCCTGTCATGTTAAGAAAATTCAAAGTTCTATATATTGAAAATTTAAATTGTTCTATCTTTAGTTCGATCCAATTATCTTTGTCAATGTGGTGGTAATCGTATTTTAGATGCAAGACTTGGAACATTTTAATCACTTGTGTTTCTTGGATTAAGAAAAGGATTAGATGTTTCTCAATTTATGCAACAAAATGGTCTTCTTACAAACCACGTGTAATTTCATAATCAAAAGATGCAATATTTAACAGTCTGTTATATATATTTGTAAAAAGTGAGATATTGTTGCTAGTAAAAAGTGATATTTTGCATTAAATGTTTGCATAAACAAAAATTGTAAATGTCCATTGTGAATTGTGATTGCCATGAAACTAGTTGTAACACCCTAAAGATATGAAAACAACATCCAACAAAAACTTTCAATGGTAATCTATTATGAGAGTAATACATAAGATTAAATCATAAATATTATAGTTACAACAATGAACTAGATACATCATTATCCATCTAAGAAATCCTCAATAGATGCATTGAGAAAGTTGCCATCTTCACCATCTCTCTTATACTATGCAGTATTCACAAGTATCATGTAAACTTCGTACTTTCCAAAAATGCAAAATGCCACTCGAGGCTTCCTTGCTACTTACTAGAAAATGCAAATGTATGTCAAATTAACCAAAATTTGGGCTTAAAGTCTAATGAGCACAAAGTATATCATTGTTGTTATTCGAAAGATTGTCTAGGGTCATTTTTGTGCCTCATAGCAACATATTAAGACATGGTAAATAAGTTGATATATTTTCACACTATTGTGGAAGCCACAAAAACATTTAGAATAAATCTAAACATGAACCGAGCAAATTCGCAAGCTAATACAATTCAGTGTCTACAATAATCCCCAAAAATACTTTAAAAAAATAATGTAGTGGTTAATACCATTCTATCCAACAAAAACGGCGGATCTAGTTATAGTACAAGCATTTGAATGGTGCAACTACAAGCGTAATATTGATCCCTTTTATCTTTGATTTATTACGATACTATGTTTATTTTATCTTATACTTTCTTGGTGTAATTATGTCCCTTGTACTCTTCCATAGCTTCTTACTATTGGTTCTTTTGGTTATTTATATCATCTATTTGTCATTTCAAAAAAAAAAAAAGGGAAAAAAATGATAATGCAACATGTTTTTAACTCAATAAATTCTCATGTAGAAAAGTACTATGATAATGGCACATCTACAATCCATTCAAGTTTCATTTGCGAATTCAATAAACTGTCACACTAACAACATAAAAATGTGGGCCCTCGATTTTTCCTATTCAAAAGCTTCAAATTCATTACCAACTTTGGATCTAACTATAATTGAGTTTAATTATTGTATGTCATTGGAGTCACCGAGAATTCCCCTCATTACCCCATAATTAAAGTCAAATTTTATATAGAGATTGCCTATTTTGAAGGTGATTTATTATTATTATATAAAGTAAAAGTTTCTTAATTGTCTAGGGATTGATTTCGATATTTTCCATAAGTTTTGAAGAAAATGAATGGAAGTCGAAATGCTAACCAGGAATGTTCATATGGCTATCACAAGCATCGATGATGGACATGTGTGTGTGTGTTTAAATAAGTGACACGGAGTACGATCAAAATAAAAATCATATTCTCAATATCAAGAATAGAGTACAAAAAGACTACATAAAAGTCAAGCAATTTTGAGGTAAAATGTTGTTCTCTAGGATTTCCTTCAAAGACAAGACAAGTCCATTTTGCATGTCCTTATATTTTATGTTGTTCAAGTCTTGTGTCGAAAATTTAACGTGGAAGTTTGTGGAATTACGTGAAAGTATTGTGCTAATGAGACTAAATGAGTATTTTGTACATAATGTTCATTGGAAAGTTAAGGCCAAGCCATAAAAAGACATTTTCCGTTGATATTGTTTAGCTGCATATTTGTGCAACTCAAATTTGAACGACAAGAGTACAAAACCCACTACCTAGCGTTTGATTTTTTTTTTCTTTTAAAAATTACACATGTTGGAGGCTTTGGATGACACCACACCATATATAGGCATAAAAAAGCATTTAGTTGGTGTACCACGCCTATATGACACCAAATGTTGGAGGCATTGAATGACACCATTTCCTAAAATAAATTATTTACATAAATCTACAAACTATATGTTTATTGCTTGGAAGCTAACGCCCTTCGAATGTTGAAATTGTCACATCATTGATTTTATTTGGAACACTATGTACATTTAAAAAGTCAAAACGTTTGGGGTAATAATATGAATATAATAAACTCTAAGGGTTAAATGTGTACAAATAAAAACTTGTGAAAAATGAAATCAGTTTTATAAAGTGATTGCCTATTTGAAAATGAAGTTTTTATCATAAAATCTGCATAAAAATTCCCTACAAATTGATTTTCACATTTTCCAAAAGTTTATAGTAAAGAGAAAAGAGGTCAAAAAGATAACTACAAACATGTGTATGGTTCCCATGAACATTTGTGATGGATATGCACTTTTTTTTGTTCACGTAAGTGATACGAGTTTGGTCAAATTGAAAGTCATATTCCTTTTTATCAAGACTAAGGGAATAAAGAAGCAACATAGATAGAGTATGCGTGCAAAATTGAAATAATTTTTATGAATCATTACCTTATTTTGAAAATGAAGTTCGTTTATAATAAAATCGGTTTATGACTTATGAGATAAAAAAAATGCATGTGCATGGTCGTGCTCTCGGAATTTCTGCAAAGCCTCGATTTTGAATGTGCATATCTTTAAGTTGTACATTCAATTTCGTGTTGAAAATGTGATATGAAATTATGCAAACATATATTGTTAATGTACTATAAACGGATGTTTTGTGCATAGTGTCACATTTAAAAGCTATACATTCAAGAGACAAGGATGTTTTGTGCATAGTGTCGCATTTAAAAGTTGAGAAACTGCTTGCATACATTCAAGAGACAAGAATTTTATGTTTATCACTTCAAAGTAACATTTATCCGAAACAAAATTGCAAAAATGTCCCGTGTTTGTCAAAATTATGTGATTTTGGTCCAAAAAAATTGGTGGTGTATTAGTGGTCCAATTTTGGATACCTTGTGCGATTTTGATCCCTATAGTTGGCATTTTTATGTGTTTTTGGTCCAGACCCAACCTAAAATGACGAATATGCTATTTGATAATTATTTTTTATTTATTTTTAAATTTTTATTACTATTTTCATTAAAAAAAACACCACCTTCTCTCTCTCTCTCTCTCTCTCTCTCTCTCTCTCTCTCTCTCTCTCTCTCTCTCTCTCTCTCTCTCTCTCTCTCTCTCTCTCTCTCTCTCTCTCTCAACAACTCCCAATGAATTTCCCTTGCAAAACCCAATCTGAAATGAACTATTTTTTACTTGGATCCATTAAATAAATGACATTATCAAATTCAAGAACAAACACATAAAATCATAAAATCATGAACAAACCCATAAAATAAGATGCTTTGTCAAATTCAAAAACATTCTCTTCAAATGTGAACATAGTGAAAAAGAAAAGAACAAACCCAAAAAATTCTTTTTCCTCAAGAGCTCCCCTCTGATTCAGATACAGATTAATGGTGGCGCGAAACATATATTTGATCTGAAACTTGACCCGTGAGGCAAAAAATGATGGGGTGGGTGTTGTCTTGTCGACCATCCCTCCATTTTTGTGTTCCCCCACCTTGTGATGCAGATCCTTTCCGGCGTCAAGGTCGCTACAGTTGCTCCTCCTCCTCCTCCTCCCTATGCAGATATGTTACATGCCAGCGGAAGTGGAGAACGAAGGTGTTCGGTGGTGACTACGGATTGCCAGTGACGGTGGGTGGAGGGAATCACAAAGAGCACAGCTAAAGGTGGAACAACATCGAATATGAATTATTTGCTCTTCAAATCGTTTTTGAAAAAAAAAAAACAGAAATCGATTTTGGAATCGATTTGTGTATATGAGTTCATCCCAAAAATTCACCATCACTGGACTACCAGTTTTCCTCTTGGAACACCACCATTCTCATCGCGGAAACCAGAAAACACCATATCGAGCACCATCCTTCTTCCTTCATTGGTGGTTCCGATCTATATTTTTTAGGGCTAGGGTTCAGTTTCGGAACTGAAGACACCGTAAGAAGCTTGCTACCGAGGGTTTTTTGAACGCGGTATAGAAGGCGGCGGTATGTGGATCTGGTTCAGTTCTGAAGTAAGAGTAAATGGAGAATAGTGGCGGTGGGTGGGTCTAAGAAACTAGGGTAGGATCGCCAGAGAATCATTTAACTTTTCTAGTGTTAGCCTAATAAGATTTTGGACTTTATTTTGTATTGGGTTTTATGATTGGGCCTTTTCGCTAGGAAACCCTAATTAGCTTGTCTACATATTATATCTTTCCCTTTCATTGTATTTGTACTTATCTTTGATAATAATACAAAATCCTAGCCGCTATATGTCTTTCACTTGTTAGTTTACCTAGTATCAGAGCTCGATTGATTATCTGTACTTTTTCGTTTTTGGGGGCAAGTACTATTCATCGGCGATTACTGTTCATCGGCGTTACTGTTCATCGGCGTTACTATTCACCCGACGATTACTGTTCATCGGAGTTACTGTTCACCGTATTGTTCAGCTCGGTTACTGTTCACGGATACTGTTCATCACACTGTTCATCGGTACCGTTCATGTGCACTGTTCATTGCCACCATTTGCAATTTTGGGTATGCTTTTTTTGCTCGTTTCTGTATTCGGTTTGGTTTGATTTGTGCGTTTGTCGATTTTGAGGGTTTCGTTTCGTTTAGCTTTGTTGATTTTGAGATCTTGATCGTTTTTGCTGCTACTCGTATTTACTATTTGACTGATATTGAAATATGGCCCCAAGAGATGATTCTATTCAGTCCATTAGTATTCAACTTCATGGCAAAAACTATGCCTATTGGAGTTATGTTATGAAAATTTTATTGTGGGGCAAGACTATGTGGGGGATTGTTACAGGCGACAAGAAGAAACCAACAGACGAGAAGGCCGCTAATTATGCAACCTTACTGGATTCATGGGAGACTGATAACTCCAAGATCATTACTTGGATTAATAATTTTGTCAT